TTTTGAAACAACTATAACTCTATCAATATAAGACTATGATTATTTAAACTTTGCCAGAGGATCCCACATTGAATGAAGTCCTTGTGTGCCAAATCTCAGAGCAATTTACCTCCATTTAAGAAAAATATAGAAGAAATGGAGGGTTGCATTTTTTTGGGTCACCCTGTATGATGTATATGTCGAGGACGAATACTTTGCACAGGTACACATACCCTTTAAACTAACTTGTACTTGCTTCCACTTTCTTGTTTACGGATATAATCGTTAAATATGGTGATAATAAAGATGTAATAATAAAAAATAAATTGTTCTCAAAGCGGGCGTGACGACTCGCCATTGTGTGGTATTTAGTTTATATACAAACAATATAGTTTACTAAAAGAATTATATTTGGGGGAATCCATGTCTAAGAGATAAACAAATCACATCCTGTTAAAACATGATAATATAAACCATCTATTTGGGCATCATTTAAAATAAATGATTGTTTTTCGTGTAACTTCAAAAATAAAAATAATAAATCGGAAAGCGCGATTTAAAGTGCTATTGACAGGGGTTCAAACAGGATCCATTTTCATGTCATTGAAAATACACACGTAAAGTTATTCATTGTATTTTATGAATTGTATAAAAGAGCTGTCGAAGGATTCAAATTTCATAAGTCTGAAGTAATAAGTGAGAATGCATTAGAAATAAAAAATTAATGAGTTGGATTAATGACATTAATGACTTAGAAATGAGTACCAAAATGGACAGTGACGTGGATGTTAGTGATGTCCAAGGCAAAATGAAAACTAATGGCCGTTTGCAGACAAATGAAACACCAGTGGAAATGCAAACAGTAGAACTTATTCAGGATGGCGAGATTTCTAAGAATGGTTCTATGATCAAAGCTGCAAATTCGAACAATCACGTTATGGAATTAATGGACAAGACCTACACAAAAATTGGAGGTGCTCGCGGAAGTGTCCAGATCGAACGCAAGTCGTATACTCAAACTGATTTCGATGGCGAATTTGCATTTAACAAGTCAGATGAAAAAATACTACCGAAGGTAAAACGTAAGCTCAAACGAGCGTGTACCTGTTCAAAATATGACATCTTACCGTTTATATGTCGCATTATTCCCATGATTGGAACGCTCAAAAACTATAAATGGAAAAAGGACATTGTTGGCGATATTGTTTCAGGGATTAGTGTCGGAGTTGTCCATATTCCACAAAGCATGGGGTTTGCTGCATTAGCGTTCTTACCACCTGTCTATGGTCTCTATTCTGCCACGTGGCCTGTCCTTCTCTATTGTGTACTAGGGTCATCAAGACACGTCTCTTTCGGGACAATGGCCGTTATTGCCCTGATGGTCGGAGTTGTAGTGAAGAGACAAAGGGATGCATTTGAAAGTAACTATAATGGAACTATCACAAATCTAACCGCATATGAACAAGAAGAATACGACTTACAAGTGGAGCAGGTCGGTGTCGATGCCGCCCTCTCGGTGTCCTTTATCGCGGGATTGTTCCAAATAGGATTTGGCATTTGTCAGCTGGGTTTCATTACGGCTTACTTCTCCGACGCTTTCATAAGTGCGTTTGTGACAGCAGCGTCGGTACATATATTGTCTAGCCAGGTAAGATTTATGCTGGGGATTCACACCCTGGTGTATCCCTACAGTGGGCCCTTAAAGCTAATCTACACCTACAGGGACGTCTTTCTCAACATTCACGTCTCCAACACCGTTGATGTCATCACGTCCGTTGTTGCTATGGTCGTCTTAGTTGCGATCAAGATGGGAATCAACGAACGCTTCTCGCATAAACTCAAAGTCCCAATACCTGCAGACTTCATTGTTTTGGTCGCTGGACTCTTAATTTCACACTTTGGAAAATTTCACACCCATTATAACGTCAAAGTCATCGGTGAAATCCCCCTCGGAGTTCCAACGCCAAGGATTCCTCCAATGGTGGGCGCTTCTAGTTATATTGGTGACGCAGTTGTAATTGGCATAGTTGGCTATACCGTTGCTATATCGATGGCAAAGGTATATGCCGAGAGATACAAATACACCGTGAATGATAACCAGGAGATGTTTGCTGGTGGTGTAGCTAATGGAGTCGGGGCCATCCTCCATTGTTTCGCAGGGACCGTAGCGCCACCTCGCTGTATTCTCCATGAGAAGGCCGGTGGAAAGACACAGATCGCCTTCGTAGTCTCAGCCCTGATATTATTCCTCGTAATCATGGTGATGGGGCCACTATTCTACAACCTCCAGAATTCCTTACTTGGAGCTATTATATGCGTAGCAATAGCACCGATGTTTGGACATGTTCGCAACCTGAAACTCCTCTGGAACATTGACAAAATTGACTTTCTTATCTGGCTCGTTACTTTCCTCGCTGGAGTCATCCTTGATCTTGACTATGGACTCTACGTTGGTGTCGGTTTCTCCTTTCTCACTATCATCATACGCTCTCAGTTCATAAACAGCGCCAGTGCCTCGAATGCCCCAAACACGGAGATATACATCGACTATAAAACACATGATGTCAAGAGACCTACCCGCGTTTACGTATACCAGTTCAACTCACCCTTACTCTTCACGAACGTGCAGTCGTTCAAATCAAGATTGTTAAAGGAAACTGGGCCGCCATTGGAGATAGAGAAAATTTCTTTAGAAACAACTGGAATTGAAGTCGGAGAAACTGAACGAAGGAAAGCCATAGTGATAGATTGCAAGGCTATTGCATACGCTGACTCTGCCGGGGCGAAGTGTTTAAGGAAGCTTCAGAGCGAATACCGGGCGGCGGGACAAGACTTTGTGTTTGCGAACTGTACAAAATCTCTCCAGACATTGATTATCAAACAAATCAACATTGACGGTGGAGTAGTTTCCGACTCTGACTTCTATATTACAGTGCACGATGCAGTAGTTGACTTGACCTATTAACAAACAAATTAGTAATTGTCATCTTCGCACGCTCGGTCTTCACTGCGTTCATTCGACCGACAGGAGCCGAGTGAACGAAGATGAGTGATAGTTAAGAAGGCTTATATTTTACTCACAGTGCGTATAAAAAACGCAGCAAATTGTTATCTCGGAAAAGCACAAAACCAGTGATGACATCATTGATTTCATTTAATGTACCATAAATCCATGCGTCTCCACTTTCAAATTGTATATCATTTGTTGATATTGGGTCATGGTTGGGCGAGTAATCATATCTTTTCCAAAGTGGGCCAAAATTAGCTTGGGACCAAGTTATAAACATCGCGAAAGTCGGTGTACGGGGCCCGATGCAATATTGGAAGAAAACATAAAACCAATGATGACTGCATCCTTTTCATTCAATGTACCAAAAAGCCAAATTACCACTTCTTTGCACACAGAGATGCGCTCATCTCTCCATGTCAAGCATGGTTTAGCCCCGAGTCATCTGTGGGTTAAGGCAGAGAACAGCAGCCCATTAAGGCAATTCTTTCTCGAAGTTCTCGAATATCTGGTGGAGAAACGGTTAACTCTCTGCTCCTGAGATAGTTCCAAAAGAAAAAGTCAGGTCAGGAGGACTCCCATGAGCACTTAGCCCTTGCACTGGCTTTTGCAATATCTGAAACTTGGTCCAGAGCCGTAACCACATGTGAATGAATGATATATCATTGTAAAGAAGAGGGATGTGGCATAATGGTACATTGAATGAAATTGATACAGTCATAACAAGCTTTGTGATTTTACGAGATAACTGCCTGTTGCGTTTTTTTGATACGCCCTGTATTGACTTGAGCAATAGTGGCGGGGCATGGTGGCCATCATATACTTAGTTTTCAATATGTAGTAACAATAGTAATAACCTTATTTCAGCTGGCAGCATAGTGAGGCCAAGATTTCACTATGTTGCCCTTTGAAGTTATTATTGCTATAATATAAATTGTAATACACTATTATAATTACATAATTATATATATTCCAAATGTATAATATATATTCAAAATGTTGTAACTGAACTATTCACACTTATGTGACAACAGAGAGATTCTGATAAGGATTTTTCATTAATTTTTCATTTTCAAATAAAACATGACTTTTTTGTAATGTAAAGTCGACAGCTTCCTGGCATTTGAAGTGATTAGCCTTTTACCTCTTTTAATCCCTACAATTAGTGAAGGTAAAAATACTATTGACTGATCACATGGCATAACTGGTCATGCATGATGGCGTCACATTGTTTCGTTCATAAGGATTTAAGCCCGGTATACACCAATGGGCCAAGTTGGGACCTCAATACTTGGTCCATAGACTTAAGACCTCATGGGACTTCTTGGTATTTTGCCCCATAGAGTCCATGGGACTCCGTCGGATTTTGCCCCATCGAGTCCCATGAGGTCCCATGTGGGACTGGGTGGGATTCGATGGGGCAAAATCCCACTTGCCTCATCGAGATTGAACATGTGCATTCTTTCCATCAGGCATCGTGGGATTTTCGATCATATGACATGTTGTGTGAAGCCCAACATACACCAATGGGGCACGGTGCGATTTGATGGGACTCCATGGGGCTTGATGGGACTCTATGGGGCAAAGTTATCAAGGTCCCATGGGACTTCGTGGGATTCGATGGCCCAAGTTGAGATTCCATGGGGCAAGATGGGACTCGATGGGGCAAGTGTGATTTGCCCCATTGGTGTATACTGGGCTTTAGGTGCAAACTTTCACACGTGGCAATGTATTGAAAAGGAGGTTTTCCAGAATATCATCATAGCTGTTCACTCAATAACTGGGGTGATTAAAGATACACATTTTTAAAGAACTTGTATGTGAACGTGTTATATCATGGCCCACAGGGATAACTGTCCCCTCTCATTTTAAGGTATCTAAATACAACCATTATACATTTATACTACTTTGGGAAAGTAAATACAAAATAGAGAACTACAGTAATCCCTGTAAGACCCATTCTGTTACTCATAGCATCTTTCTGTTTCACCTGAAACATCTCAGGGCTGAGAAGAAATGAGATGCCATGGTTTATCATGATATGTAAGACCATAATTCATTTGATTCATTAAAAAGTCAATATCGTAAAAGTGTGCAGCGGGAATTTTTCCACGGAATAGTTCATCTATTTCATATGATATGATATGACCATAAAAAACTTAAAAAAGCCAATGAGTAGAATTGATATTGGGCATTTGATCAAAGGAAATAAGCACAGCCATTAACAAAAGGTCGTTTACAAAACACTGTCTTAATTCAACAGAATAAAAAATATCATAATTAACTATATTTTGTTTAAAATGTTTTTGTTTCAATGGTTTGATCAGTTGAAATTACATGTCTGTGATTTGAAATGTTGCATGACTTCCCAGGCATGACTTATGCTTTCTCAAAGCAAGACAAGTCTTAAATATGTCACAGCAAACTAAATATCTGTACCAAATATTTTGCTTTTGTATCGAATTCTATAACCGATACAAACATTCCCAGGTTAACTTCCAACAATGGAGTTTATAATTCTGAAAGTCAAATGTTTACTTGTGAATGTGCACGTAGGGATTCAGGTTGATCAGAGCCCTATTTATCGAATCAATAAATTTCTTTATCAAATCAATAAATGAATTTGTTTTCATTTCCCAACAATTTGTATCAAAAGACCTATAGTAATTATCTCAAAGACTAAATTATGTACACAATTTCTATGATGATAATTGTAAAAGAAAATGTCACTCTAGCCTACAAATAACCACAATTGCATGATTAAGGATTGAACAAGGTTGAGATTTTAGAGCAAATCTTTAACTTAGGAATTATGAATTCTCAGTAACAAGAGTACAGGCACAGATTATTTAATAGATATGATTTTATATTCATGACTGTATTTATACAAGAATATACACACCTATTTTACTTCCAAGTAAAGTAGTAAATGTTTTTCTGATATCATCTAACAGTCTAATGTCCAATTTTGTTTTACATTTTCACATTCAAAAATGAATAAAAGTAAGAACATGTATGTTCAAACCAAGAGCCTGAAAATGTGGTTGTGATTCAATATCATATTCATTGACTTCGTTTCATAGCTTATTCTGGTGATGACTGATATCATTTATTGATTTCAAGATGTCCCCATTTCCTCTGACTTCTTTTGTTTCAAGATTTCTATATCTCCTCTGATGTCTTTGGTTGGTTTTAAGATATCCATTTGTCCTCAAATTAAATTGGTTGATTTGAAGATGTCCCTATTTCCTATGATGTTATTGGTTGGTTTCAAGATGATGTATCCTCTGATTTAATTGATTGGTTTCAAGATGTCTTCAGCCTCTTCAATCCTCATCTGTAATCAGAAATCACAACATGACAGACCATATACATTGACTGGAAATCCTGTAATTCAATGCTTCGAGATACAATATTGACTCATGCAAGAGATGAGAAAATTTAAAGGGTGTTCAAAATAGAGTAGTATTGTATCATTTCCTATATGCCGAGGCAGAATCAAGTTGTAGGGTGTGACAACATGTACACATAGCTACCAAAGTATTCTTTAACGCCTTAAATGTAGTATCTCCCAAAAGATCCACAGAGTGTTAACAAAATATGATTCTGAATACATTGTAAAAATCCTTGGTTTTCCTGGAATAAGGGGGATTTTTTGAAAAAACATTAAGAATAAACACAAGGTGCTCAAGTCATGCATCTTGAACTCACAAACCTAAAGGTTAAAGCAACAGCGCCTAGCAAAATAATCAGAAAATATTATGAAATCGAGATATTTTAAATTTTTTGTTACTTGTTAGAATTTTTATTACAAGTAATAGCAATGATGTTTTGCTAGGTACTAACAAAGGCGCTTTAAAGCAATAACTTTGACTTTTACTCATATTATAAATTCTAAAATATTTGAGTTTTCTGCCATTTTTGAAACAAAGTCCAGATTTTTAAATCATCAAGTATGACACTTTACACTGCAAAACACATTATTTTCTATACTCCATTGGACAGATCGGGCAAAAGTTATATCATTTCAATCATTCAATCTGATTTTATGCATTATAAACTTTTAAAGTACCTTTAAAAATTTCTGATATCACAATGATATGCTGTGGTGTCACTCAGGTGGTAAAATATTTTTACAAAAATTGTTAAATTTTTTCTGTGAACAAATATTTTCTAAATATGCTATACCTTCAAAATAAAACAATATTTTTGGCCTATGCAGGTTGAAAATAAGTTTTATCATGTTTTAAATATTTACCATTGGATGAATAAAAACTTTAAATTGCTATTTCTCTGAACCACTTATCTGCGCTTAGGACTTAATTTCTCAATTATTTTTTGACCAATTTTCTTAATTTCTTCAACGCAAAATGGGTTAGGATGTTCACATAACATTGAAAGACTATAATACAGGGTGATCATAAAAAAACATCAAAAGTTCCCCAACTTTTGTAAATATTAACGAATCTAGCTCATTTTCTCACAGAACATTGATCTACTAATTATACATACATAAATAAATTGTAATATGTTACATTTGATATTGTGTGTTCTATGGTAACCATGGCAACCCGTGTTGAGGGTACCCAGAGCAATCAAAATGAAGGACTGACGGTCCTGTGCTCACACAGTTTGGAACCTTCAGAGGAATTTATATCCTGACTTTCAAACAAAAATATTGATTTGGATTTGTAGTCTCGAACTTTCAGAAACTTGAATAGCATAGTTGTGTGACCTAGTTTGATGACCTTTGACCTTGAAAATTTTACTTATTCAGAGCTCAGTAAGGTCTTTTGTGATTAAGCTGACCAAAATTTACATCCAAAAATCAATTTGAAAAATCAACTTTTTTGACCTTTCGAAGGTCACTGAAGGTCAAATAAAGGTCAAATCCTAAAACTAATGTCAGATTTGAACTCCTGGCAACTTATAGATGATTTTCAAAAAAAAATTTGGTCAAATTGAAGCAAGTTGAAAATAACTTATTTTTACTGTTTTTTTGACGTCAAATATCTCAAAAACGGTAAAAATTTGATGCTGACATATATTGAGAAATATGTAGGGATAGGTAGTAAGCTAGCACCCAAAAATGTATTAGTTCGTGAACAAATTGAAATTACTTGCTTCTTATGTATTTTTATGTGATACTTCAGAAAATGTTTGTCTGACGCGCCATATCCGGGGCGAAAGTTGTCAAATTGGCGTTTTCGACCCTAAAATGGAAAATTACAGGGGGTACTTTATCATCACTGAATAAATCATTCTGTTAGTCTTCAATCATCATAATACTTTTATGGGGAGTTGATTGGATCATGCTGAGGTAGTATGTAAAATTTCAATGCTCCGTCACTCATGGTTGTCATGGAAACCACAATTTTCGTTCAAAATATCCTTAATTTTGCAAAACCTGAACATGTACATCATGTAGAATATGGATTATTTTTTGAATCCACACATATCAGCACATTTTAGCACACTCAAAATAACCAGTACAGTTCAAACATTTGTTTAAATATAAAGGATATTGCAATTTACATGATTGGTCAGTGTCAAAGAACATACAATTACATGAGTGATCAAAAGTGGGCGTCGCCCCCATAATAGTAGATGATTGCTATACTCTATAAAAACAGAGTTTAACTTGACTTTTGAGATACATTTACACTAGACTTATTTGATTATATTTTATATCAAGCATTTCTAGTAAATAATGTACATCTTAGTGTTATAGTTATTGCATGGGGGGGGGGGGGGGGGTACAGAGGGGGGCTAGTAAAAGAATTGGGAGGAGGCAGAGCTAATCAACCTTAAGTATGAAACTCATCTACATATATCTGGATTTCATGGGGTACATCTTCTGGGTCTTCTTCATATTCATCTCAATATATGGGATATTACAACTTACATGATTGGTCAGAGTCAAAGAACATACAATTACACAAGTAATCAAAACTGGGCGTCGCCCCCATACTAGAGTAGATGATTGCTATTCTCTATAAAAACCAGAGTTAAACTTGACTTGAGATACATTTACATTGGACTTCTTTGATTATACTTTATATTTTTTTCTGGTAAATAATGTACAACTCAGAGCAATGGTTATTGCATGAAGAGGGGTTGGGTTAGTAACAGAATTGGGTATTTTCTGGGTCTTCTTAGTTATCTCAATATACTGTATATAGTTATATGGGAGGGGGGTAGTAACAGAATTTGGAGGTGTGGGGGGAACAAGTCAGCATTTAGTATCAATTTCATCTTCAGAGTTCTGGATTTCATAAGATACATCTTCTGGAGTCTTTCTGATTCATCTCCTGGTGCTATATCAACAATCATTTGTATGAGAATACCAGTCAATACCCATGTCCTGCTGGAATGTCAGGGTTTACAATATGGGCCATATGCATAAGTGCTTTGTAGTAAGCTGTTGACAAGGTGGAAGAAGACTGATGTTGGTTCCTTCATAGTCTTTGATTGTTTTAGTATGGGGTCTAAACTTCTATTTCAATTGGTTTATCTGGTTTTGCTGGTGTAAGACATTGTGGCTTAACATAAATGTTTTTTATATTAATCAGTCTTCTTTTGTTTGTCCAGCATGGCAGCACTACACTTTGCTGTATTCTGTGCTTATCCTAACACATTGATTGAAGGAATAAATAAATGAAATGAAAGATATGTAATCTTTAAAATGCACATGAGAGATTGATTGAAAATGTGTTTATTCCTTGTGACAATATTACTCTCTGGGCCCATATGGGCCCTAAGGAAATATACTAAATTTCATGGATTCTCTGATGGGTTGTTTTGTTTCTGGAGCTGGCAGAAAATACATGTTTTTCAAGATACTTCTAACAGCAGAGTGATTATGTGATAATTAAATCCAAAATTCTATAAACGAACCTGATAGGAGAAGAAGAGGGTGGTGGCACATCACCTTATCAAATGTAGAAAAACATGAGTCCCTTAAGATTAGAATGAGTTCATGAATAAGGATGCAAATAAGAAGCAACTATACCAGTTACACTTAATTGAATGATAAAGACCAGAATATGCCAAGAAAAAATATACTGTGTAGCAGGTGGGAAATGCCATATCCTTTCTAGTGATCATCATGATAAACCATGACATTTTATTTCTTCCCAGCCCTTCAGGTGAGACAGAAAGATGCTATGAGTATCAGAATGTGTAGTGATGACAATACAATAACAACTATAGATGAGCCTTCTCATAGTCTGATCATTTTCGTTCTTTTGTTTTATTGCATGATATTTATATATCAACAATCTCTTAAAGGCCGAGTTCCGGGAAATATTAACACAATTGAACATGTTGAACAACTAATATACATACTTTTTGTGGCTTGGTTGAATGGCTATTAATCCCAAGTTCCGATGTGCCTCATCAAGAAGACGATAGAGTGACAAAGATTATGTCAAGCGGGGTTTATAATTTTTGTGCAAATTTTCTTCTTGGATCGAAAAATATCATTTTAATTCGATTAACTTACGATAGGTGGCAAAAGGTCTAAAGGTAGGTCACGTGACATAAAACAACGAATCATATGACACGAAACAATGATTCATTCGCCAGATGGCGCAGTTAAATGAGGTCAATTTTACGACAAACGAAAACCGTTTAGCTCAGCTTCAATTTTGCTCTCGCAGTCGAACGAAACTGACACTTCTTTCGTTGATATCTAGGTGAGTGATTTTTTTCAGGCTCCGGTTTTTTGACAAAAGTAAGTTCACGTCGTAGCCATTCTTAGGGGCAGGTTTGAGGCACCAACGATTTATTTTGAAGTTTTTCCAAGGAATTATTCCCGATTTCCGATATTGTCCCTTTAAGAGAAAATACCACTAAACACTTGCAGATTTGAGAGTCATTCAGCTGGGACATAATATGGTGCTCCATCTTTTTAAAATGTGCTATCCTGCCCCTTCAAAGCATGGCACTTACTTAATCTATCGAAGGTATGAAGGCTGCATATAATATGCCAGGCCCTAGATGGGAGTAGTAACAGAATGATTGGGAGGGAGAGGTCTGTAACCACTTCCCCACCCTCACCCCACGTAAAAACTATACTACTAAATGTATTTATGAGAAATGTTTTATGTAAATTATATTCGAACATGACTGTATTCACACCTTCTATGAACTGTGAACAAAGTCAATATTTTACCCAGGGTATATTCGTTAACACTACCCTTGGTAATACGAGTAATATGTGACATCAAGAGGGCTGTAGTAATGGCAGACCATAAGTTGAATATTCGAAAAAATTTTGGGGAGTTTTCATGTTTGAATTGTAATATATACCTCAGAGCAGGCGTGATATTGACA